AGTCCCGTCCATGGAAGGTCACGCGCTCATAGGTCCGAAGACCTTCCTGTCGTCGATGGCCGCGGTGGAAGTATCCGCCGCGGGTACTCCCGGAAGAGACACCTCCAGGTTAGAACCCTTCTGGAAATACCGGACTTTTAGCGGTGGCGCAGCACTTACCAGTGCAACTACGCAGCTACGGGCGCAGCAACGAAAACAACCGTCGCCAATGCCGACATGAGCAGGCAATTTCCGGTGTCGACTTGCCATGCCTTGCCCGTGTCACCGATCTCCGCACTGGCAGTATCCGCAGCAGGTACTGCAGGAAGAGACGCCTCCAGGTTGGAAACTGTCTTTCTCTGATCGTTCACGCTGCATGGTTGCAGTTCTAGGAGCTCAGGTTTCCCCAGGTTTCCCCAGGTTCAGGAATTCCAACAGTTCATCAACTGCATCATAGAATTCTTGGTGTCTCTCAAACACCTCCGTGGCAATGGCCGCGCATTTCTCTTCAAACAGATCTACTTCTCCCTCCTTCTCCACTCCAAGCACCAGAACCCTCACTCCGATCTTCTCCAGTCGCTCTGCGAAGCCTTGCGCCGTTTTCAGGGCAGGAGCATTGAACACCACCAGCGGAGGATCTTGATTTCGGCTGCTTGTCAGCTGCACGGTGACAGCAGCCAGCAAGGTTGTTTTGCCCCCACCAGCAAAGCTGGACACCACCGTGACTGCTCCCTGGATCTCGGACAGCGCCCGACATTGATCTGCGGAGAAGCCCACGATCCCCAGCCCCTTGCAGAAATACATCCCGCTGGGGCCCCAAATAACGATCCCAGACCGAGCTGAGGACAAAGGTCGCTGGCTGGTTCAGACCCAGCCAAGCATTGAAAGCATTGGCTCGCAAGCCTGCCAAACCCTCACTTGACGTTGCAGCTAAACTACCAACATCTCCTTCCAGCATTGGTCTCAACCTCACCAACGCCTCGTACATGTGGATGAACTCGTGGATGTCTGCCAAGATCACCACCACCACCTGCGACCCCCGCTCCAAGTTCATCACAGGTTGCAAAGAAACCTGGTCTTGCCGAAAATTGCCCACGTTCGACACCAAGTGCACGCTGCCTCGTTGGTACAAATCACTCTCTGGCATCTCAATCCAGGCGCGCACCTGGTCCATTGCACAAACCCAAATCATCTTCAGTTTCCACTCTCGGTTTCGCTCTTCGCTCATCAACAAAAGGCGGGTGACCTCCACACCACTGCGTTTTGGCTTCACCGTATCCCGAACGACTGCTGGATACGGGCCCCCCACATCTTCCGACTCCCGGATTGTCTGCTGCAGCTTTTTCTGCAATTGCCCCAGAAGGAGTGTCGCCATACTTTGAGGTGAAGCCCGCACGCCGCCCATAGGAATCCAGCTGGTCTGCACCCGAGGCACACTGGTAATCCAGGTTGCCAAGTTCGTTCTTTCCGCCGGCCCCTCCGCCGGGCCCAAAAATTCTGCTATAGACACTCTAAACACTGGGTTTTCTGTCAATGTCAAAAGACCAGGCTCCAAACTCCTCATCTCACGCAGAAACCTAGCAGCGGCCTCCAGCCTCCGCACATGCTGCCGATTGACCCCCGGCACACGATTCTCTGCAGCGAACTGCCCCGCCTCCTTTATCTTCGCCAACAGAAGGTCATGCCGCCCAATCAGGCTAGCGCATTCCTGCCCGTCTTCCGGAAGTGCGACTTCGCCCAAACACACGGCAGCGACGTAGCCGTCACTCACGAGCCGTGGTTCCCGAATCGTTTCGATGAAACGATCCACCCGACAGACCCGCACGGACATAGCCACATCTTGCCGCTCTACTGGGCCCTCACGCAGCCTCACATAGAGAGTCCGGAGCTCTGAAAAAGCAAAACCAGGAAACAGGTCTTGTAGAGGCACACTCCCCACCCGGTGATTGTATGCCACCAATGTCGCCATCACTTCGCGCTACCCGAACACAATCACTCGGCTCCAAGAGCACAAGTTCCTGCGTCAGCTGATACAAAATCACTCGGCTTCAAGAGCACAAGTTCCTTCGTCAGCACTCCCTCGAAAAATTCAAGTATGTAGTTGTCTTTGTCTCTCCCTCCGATACTTGAATGATACTGTTGCCCTACATGGAATGCTTCTTTTTCTCTTGCCTTACCCTCTACCTCAGCTGTGAAGCCCAACTGCATCATTCGCTGCATCACTCTCGCTGGTCTTCTGCCTCTACACCTCTCACCTTCTGCAAAGCCCACATCGACTGCTTCGGAAACGTGACTGCTGCTGCCAGCAACAAGCACAAACAAAACATCTTCCCTACACGTCTTCGCTCCTGAGCTGCCTTGCTTCGGCCCATTCCATGCCTGCGGCACAAAGACGCAGCCATCCCCCGTTTTCGTGCCATATTTCACGTCTTCAACCGAAACAATCCATGCATCTCGAAATAAACACAACTTCTTGCATCACAGCGTCATCCCACACCCAAATGGCTGCGGCACAAGAACCCGTTTCTGACAGTCGTGGCGACCCTTCTGCAGCACTCTGCCTACGTTTCAAAAAATGGACCATTTCCTGCCTTGATGAAACCCGTCCTAAAATGGCTGCAGTCTTTGAGCCCAAGCTTGTTTGAGAAGGACAGCAAACCCTACCTGGATCAACAATCCCATACTGTTTGCATTGCATGTGTTCCACCATGTCATCGTCTGCCATGTTCGTTTCATGATGCAAACACCTCCCGCCTATAGATGCCTTGACCGGCTCTGCGGCATCGGCCCCTAAATGGCTGCGGTCTTTGAGCCCAAGCTTGTTTGAAAAGGAAACGACATTGCCAGGGTCAACCGTCCCATCGTGATGCTTCCGGCAGCAGTGGTGGCGGCCCTTCAGCAGCCACGATTACTTGAAAAGGCCCTTGAACCATCGAATACCACATCATCCCTTCCCCTGATGACTCTGCTTCTCTCTGCTCCAGTTGGACCTTATCTTTGCGACGTTCCAGGCGATATGGAAGCTACGTTCAGCCATGTTGTTGGGGGGAGCCGTTCTGGGGCCGACAATATGGACGCTATGTCGGACACTTCCTTTCATACTCACTCCCTTGGCTCCAAGAGCACAAGCAGCTCGGGCTTCCTTCCGGGACTCGGTGGATGTATTGTCCCCTTCCATCCGGTGCGGGCGGTTACCGTCGCGAAGCGACGTGAATAAGATCCAGGTTTACCGGGCATGTGTGCTGTCCGCTCTCATATTTGGTAGTGAAACTGAAACTTGGACGGTGTTCCACGCTACTTCCTTACGAGTGCTGAGTCGTTTAGCAAGGTGGATGCAGCAGCTATATGACATTCTTATCGATCGCCTGCTAGCTTGTTTAGGTGTCCCTACCATAGATGATCTTATTCAACAGAATCGGGCGCGCTGGTTGGGTCATGCAGTCCGGATGTCCAATGACTGCCTTCCTAAACAGGCCTGATTTGCATATTTGCCTGCGAATCTCGGTGTTGCTAGAGTGCCCAGTAGGTGGGAAAAGACTGCGAGGTGCGTTAGTTAACGGACAAAAAATGAGTGTCCTGGCGATTGCCTATGGTCCAACTTAACGGTGGTCGGGACTGGAAACTTTGAACCAGTGCTCCTGCTGTGTGGTATATCCCCGCTATTGCTCTGCTCCCGGAGATTTCCAGGGGTTGGTCTGCTGAGCTTGCGTCTGCCAAACATGCACTGGCGCCTGCAAGGGGATCCTCAAGAAGTTTGGGCTTGCCACTCTGAGAATGTTTGGCAGGTTGTTGGCCGAATGGCAGAGCAATTGCGCGGACCGAGCTGGGCCACTCTCAATCCGAACTTTGTAATTGAAAAACTGCGTGGTCAGGATTCCTGGAACATGTTTACCAACTCTGTCCAGGATTTTGCATTATTTAAAATTGATTCTTTGTATTGCTCAGGACCTTGCTATGCATATGCCCGTTTGGCAGACTCACCGCTTGTGATGTCTCCTCTACCTGTAAAACCTCCTCGGCGCCGCCTGCAGGCAAAACAAGTGCGACAACCAGCCTTTTTTGGTGGGGATGATCCTGTCAACCCGGTTGAGGCTAGCGTGCGGGTACGTAATATTTACTGGCGTAGGCTCCCTCCCTCGAACCCGCCTCTGGCCAACTTCAATGTCCTATTTCGGGGTGCGGTCGCCGGTTTACCACTAAAATGGGGTTGTCTCATCATCTTCGTGAATCGAGACCGATCTGGAAAGCGGGTTGACCAAACATGTGCCTTCGCACGCTCCAGGGGCTGTTGCGTATGTTTGTTGTAATTGTTCGGCTTGTTTTCCTGGCAAGGACAACGCCCGCATGCGTATTGATCATAAGCATTCTGCGTATTCCTTCACTTATCCGCTTCATTGCCCTCATTGTCCTGCTCATCAACCCTATGTTGCCCATTCTGCGCGCCAATTCTCGCTGCATCGGCTCAGAGCTGTGTACTCGTGACTTGCCGGTGCTTGTCTTGTGTTTGGTGCGCGCGTAGTTAACATGCCCAATGCTAAGCTAGACTTGGACCAAGTCGAAAAGGCAGCCAAGGCTGAGAAGTTGGATAGGGCCACCAGGTTGGACTCGCCAACTCTTGCCAGAGCGGTGAACCCTTCAAGTGCCAACCTGTGGTCGACCTGGGGGCGAAATGCTGCCCTGCCAGCGGACCTGTTTGTTATGCAGGCGTCACACGCATCCACTGCAATGACAAGTAATCGGTCATGGCACTGTCTTCTAAGGCATATACTTCAGAGAGAATGAACGCATTCGTCACCCCCCCACCCCCAACCTTTGATTCCACGTTGACTTTAAGTGACATTGAAAAGTGATAAAGTCACAGTGACTATGGTAACTGAAAATGCGTTTGCGTATTTTGGGGCGTTTGCGTATTTTGGAGCACAAAGAACGCCGTGATGCACCAACGATGACTCCAAATATCTTTCAACATGTTCGCAGTTTGAGCACCACTTAAAATGGTTTGGTTTGATTGGACTTGGCAGGACGGTCTGCATGTTTTGTGCGACGATCTTCCAGAGCTTATGATGCGATGTGGCTTTCACACCCTTTCCGAAGAGAAGTTCCTCAGCAAAACTCAAAACACAAAAGAAATCACTGTTTGTCATGGGTTGAGTTGCTTATGAATTGGAGCACATCAAGGACTTGAATCTACCAGATGTGAGTTTGACTTTGTTCAAAAAGGTGAATATGTATTGTTAGACATGAGTCCGTGCTACTAGGTGCAAGAAACTTAGGTGCAAGAAACTGGTGCAAGAGGTCACTGTATTTGACTACATGGATTTTCAAGACTTTACCGACTTTAGTGAAAAAGCAATCCTTGCAACTCGGCGAAAGTTAGGCAGCTTGGAAGAACTCTGCAGAGTACTGGAGAGTACAGGGCCAAATATCGGTAGTTTGCATGTATTAATTGTTGGTTTGAAAAGACCTCGGGTCTACCAATCTTTGGAACAACGTGAAGCATTCAAGAGGCTCGAGGCTCGAGGTTGACATGAGATGTGCTCAAGGCGCAACCAAACAAACACTTGTCTTAAGCGATGTTCTTTGAGGTGTTAGTCAAGACAAGCAGATGATGATGATGATGATGATGATGATGACGATGACGATGACGATGACGATGACGATGACGATGATGATGACGATGATGATGATGATGATGATGAAAAACAAAGCAGAAAGAAGACACAAAAAAGTAACAAATGAAAAAAGGAAAGAATAAAGAGAAACAAAGTAAAAACCATTAGAAAACAAACAATATAAAAGAGGAAAGAGGAACGATGATATAAGAAAGACACATTAAAACAAGAAAACAATAAAACAATCAGACGCAAAAGATAGAAAACACATAAGAAGAACAGAAGAAAAAATAAGGGGAGAAGAACTGAAGAAACTGTTTCTTTTATATATGTTTATTGTTTTCTTGAAGTAAGGAAGAACGGAAGGGCTATCGACAGCTGCTCAAGACCTGGGAGCCAAACAGCTGCGACAATTTCGTGGATCCGGTTGACAATGTAAAGAGCCTCTCTGGTGCAACACTGAAGCTCTGTCGGTTTTTGCTGAAGCAGGGGCAGTCTTCTCTGTGGATGGTGTCAAAACAAACATGAGAAACTCTTGCCAATACTGTCCATCCCTAGCTTGTGTTCAGTGGATATTTGCCGTGAGGGATCTTTGTTTCATCTCCTAGGTTTTATGAAGATGCTCAAGGTAATTTGTACACGTAAGAGCGTGCTGGACATTTTGGATGTTGCTGGATTGAAGGCGCGGACTTGTATCTTTTTCCAGGGAACTTTGAAAGGCAAAAAGCGGCAAAGGCACCTCAGTCCCTGGCAGGATGAGCCTTGCAATTCCCCTCAAGAAATGCTCCGTTTTCTGGCCGCCTACCAAGCTTGTGAGGGCTTCAGCAAGCAGGACAATACCTGTTATATAAATGTCAACAATGTTCAGGCTTGTTCAGACTGCTTTCCATGTGGGAGAACGGTCAACGTGTCAAGGAACATGTCTGAAGGAACATGGTCAGTTACATTTTTCATTGTGCCTGATTTAATGGGGCCTTCACGCACCATCCATCCTTGCAGTTTGCAACCTGTCAAGCCTGCCCCAAACTCTGGCTTTCGCAAAGTGCGAGAAGTCCAGGAAGTTTCTTCTTTGCGAGCAGCGTTCAAGAGTTGTGAGGAGAAGTGCCTCGAAGTTCAAAGTGAGCACTTGTCCATTCCAGTCAGGGTATTGGAACTGACCTCTTGTATCGACTCAGAACCCGACGCACCTTTCGTGAATCAACGTGAACCAAACAAGCGCAACTTTACATTCTTTGCTTGCTGACATGTTGCGGACTCATGCAACAAGTGGATTGTGAGAGGTTTTCAGGCAAAACTTTCGTGGTCAAAACGAGGCCTCATGCTGTCGGGCCTGAAGGCCGTTTGATCGATCCCAAGAGTCTCAGCTTCGGCCTTTTGTGTCCTGGCGGTAAAAGCACTTCAGTCACGGCCTTCTGGGTTCTCTCCAGTTAGGCATGACCGCCTCAGGCGATTTGGTGGCATTTACTTTGTTGAAGCCTGGCGGGCAATGAAGCACTATCAAAAGGCCTGGTGGGCAATGAAGCGCATTGTGAACTATCCAATGTGGGCCATGTGTTTTCATCAGTAATTCAAGGAGATTCTTTTGGAGGAAGGAGAGAGTTCCTACTTGGACTTTTGACACACCATGTCGCCCAAAAATCTTCAGGCCAGCGCTGCCGGTGTTTCCTTCTACGAATTCTTGGTCTGTGCACGGCGAGTGCGCGAAACGCAGCTACAGCAGGTGGCTGAGTACGTTGAGACAATCTGCGGAGAGGGTGAGAACTTTATTGAGGCCAGGGTAATCCGGAATGTTTGACATTCCTTTCGAGCTGACGCTTAAAGTCTTGCCCGGGACACTCTGTCTTCTCTTCGGGTTGACTGAGATTGACCCTTGTATATCCGGAAGAAATGCCACAAAAGAGCTGCGCTTTCATTGGCTTCGGAGGAGCTCAGATCCCTATGTCGCCCACTTGGCTTCACCTTGCAAAAGGTCGAAGTGGTAGAGATATGCCAAGAAAAAGGCGCAGCATGAATGATGTGAATGGAATCGATCACACATGACAAAAGAATGCAAAAAAATATCGAAAGGATGTCTGAAAAGGCTTGGGAAAAGCAGGTTAAACCGTGACTAAACCGTGTGTGTGTGTCCTTGCTAAAAACTGCGTCACTACCCTGGAAGGCATTGGCCTTGATGGACCATTGTCTTTGGACTGTGCGTGGGACTTCGCTGAGCATGTGCGAAGTTGTCATGGTTTCAGAAAGGCTGAACAGGCAAGGACTAAAGAGAAGGACTTAACAGGACTTGACATTGACACAAATCAAAGAACAAATTGAATAGAATTGAAAACACAATTACTGTATAAAAACAAAAACATGTGTATGTATATATATATATATTTATATATGATATGTATATATTAACTGAGAATGAGAATGACACAAGAGAAACACAGTTTTTAATTTTAGCCTTCTAAATTGAAAACGATTTGAATCAGCAGGCACAGGCAGGCGCAGGCAAGAGGCATGGTCAGTTTTTTCCATGGCCCTTTTCCGATTTGACAAGGCACCGATGGCAAGATTGAAGTTTTGGGTTTGCTTTTTCATGTAGATTGTAGATTTACTTTTACCTGCATCGGAGACCGACAGGCCGAGCTAGTACAGAGCTTCTTGAAGTTTTCGCAGGGAGAGGCTGAGCTGGCAGTGCTTAAAATCTTGGAGTTGCTTAATTGGCTCCCTGGCAAAAAAACCGAGAGTGGCCGTGGCTAAATTTTTGCAATCACACCGAAATGTAACACACGCCTGCTGTCAAATAGAACACTTCGATCCATCAAAGGATAACAACTAGAATTGCTAGCACAGTAAGTGTCCGCAATTTTCCTGGCATCGGTTAGTTACACTGGCGACATCTGTTCACCGATTACACCGGTTACACCAGTCGCACCGGTTTCACCGACAACACTGCTTACACCGAACAGCATGCACACAGGGGTCGGCACGACTAGCATAAACCAGCGCAGAAAGCTGTTTTCTACACCAGTTGCGCCGATAACACCGAGCCAGCATACACACCGATGATGGCAGACTAGAGGGGTTAGAGCGACCAGTGACTAATGTAACCAGGGCAGCCAGTTGCCACGGTGGCTGCCAGCGTTCCAGCGCGCAACCATTCGCGGACATGCTTTGCCACGTCCGTGCTTTCTTCATATCGTCCATGTGGTTTTACCCTTTGAAAGTGCGAGGTTAGGACTTGGTGGAGCGCTTGAAGAAGCTCATCAGATGTTGAGCACCTTGGAGTCAAAAGGAGACAGCACTTCAATGGGAACGAGTTGATAGTTCATACGCTCTATTAGCCTTTCTCGGTGTTTGTTTTGAGGGCCTTCGGACCTTCAAGCCTCGACTTTTGAAGCTCTTTGTCACGTTCTCAAATTCTTTCAATAAAGGCTCGCACGCAAGTTATAAATGCGCAACGAGGACAGGTGGACTTCAATGACAACGGTGTTTTGGACGAGACCGAATTCTTGCGTCTCATGAGACTGCAGAAGGAGACAAGTGTCCGGGCAAGTGGCCGGGCCTTTGGTTCTGTGTGCTTCACTCCAGACCCAAGACGCATGCGACGAAGTGTCTCGCAACAAAAGAGAGAGATGGGTCTGTCTTCAAGCTTTATCGCGAGTTTCGATTCGCAGCACACATCCTGCCGGAGTTAAGGGAATCGCGTCTCTAAGCTGTGCAGAAGCTGTGCAGGAGAGAAATCTTGTTTCCTACACATCAGCATATTGCAGACTTCACCTTGGTGATGCTATCACAAGAAGATTCTTGGTGAGAAGAGCAACAATGAGTCAACAACATGTGCAACGACCAATGTGCAAGGAGCGCTTTTAAACCCCGGGCTGATTCATGTGTATGTTTGACAATTGCAAGGTCGGATTTTTGCTGCCTTGGCAGAATGCGATATTTTTACAGAGAACCATCTTTTGGAGGTCGGAGGCTTAATCAGGCTGTGAGTTCTCATGGGACATCCTGGGACATCTCCTTTTTTAGTCCTCGAGTTCCAAGAGCTCTTGCACTTTGAGGTAATCACACTGAAGCACGGCATCAAGACAGCTTCAGTGAATTTCAGCCACGCGGGCGTACGAAGGGGCAGCGGAAAGCAGCCAGGGATTTCATGGGATACCTGGGTGATCCTGGCTGAGGAGGTGGGCCCAATTTCAAAATGCATCTCAAGTCAAAGATGTGTGTTGTTTCTAGTAGTAATGCACTTGTTACTAGTAGCGCGTCCAAAACCAGTTTCAGTGCGACATGTGGAGCTTTGACTCCGAAGCAGAATGGCACCCAGCTTCTAGCTATTGTTGAGATTGCGCTCGACCGCTTTGCAGTTTCAAGGCACGAAAGGTGACTCCTGTTTGGAAGCGTCGCAGTGCTTCTTTCAAGGCAAGCGCACGCAAGCCCTTTGCTGAAAGGTTATTGCGTTTGCAGAAGTCTCAAACGAGTTGAAGGGACAGTTCCATTTGAGTTGTTTTGGGGTGTTTGTTCACGATGGTATGTCCTTTTGTTTTGTTCTCGTGAGGAGGCAGAAGTGTCCGAGCTTCGGAAGGCTTTTGGTGCTGAAGAAGTGCCGGTGAGCGATCTCATTTGGATGCTTCTTGATTCAGGTGAGTGGCTGGGTGCCTTTTTGTTTGAATTTGTACAATATCATGTATACATAATCCGGATTACATGAGACACATGAGGGAAACATCCACTCAAGCACATGAGCACAAATCGAGAAGTGTACTTTTACAACACCTGGGCCCAAGCTGTGAAAAGGATTTCGCGCTTGGCATGGTAGCGGAGCTGTGGCCGTAAGTGCCCACTCCGCTACCCACGCCATTTGCTTCACGACCCGGCGCTGTAGGCCGCGGACCTCGAAAGGGGCACAATCCATCTGATTTTGGCTCGTTCAGCTTTTGTTACTGAGTTGCATCACTGAAAGACCGGAGACGCTTTGATCCAGGAGGCCTGCTACTACCAACCGCCTCGAGTTGTTGCCCAGCACAGCCGGTGGAAGGGTCCGCTACATCCACAACAGGTGGAAAGTCTGCTACATCCAGAGCATCGAGGTCGACACAGAGGGGTGCGTGGGGAAGCTTCGGTGGGCACGGAGTGGCACAGCAGTGAGGGCATCACTGGTGAAAGAAAGGAAAAGGATCCAGGGAGCACAAACAGCTGGTTGCGATAGTCCCAGCTAAGTGCAAGTTATTGAAGAAGGTCGAAAGACTACGAGACACAGCAGCTTGCCGTGCGCAAGCTCATCGCCAATTGGGACTTCAAGAAGATGCTGACCGGAGATCAAGGAGGAGCAGGAGAACGAGCCCAACGTGACCACAAGGACGTATTATCCCAGTGTGGCCTACATCCACGCAATGGCAGAGGAGAGCCTGAAGCAGATTTCACAGGCCCTCGAGAAGTTGAGTATGACACAAACCTCAAACTCTTGAGCAAGACACTTGAAGACTCCGACATCTTCAAACCGGACACAAGAGACAATGAGTGGAGCGACTGGAAGTTCTCATGTCGAGAACTATGTCAAGTCAGGGCATTGGTCCTGGTATGGCCCATAGAATGAAGCTTGTGGAGGGCAACCCGATCGGCACTGACGAGTTGGACGAGATGACGGATGAGACCAAAGCAGCATCCATTCACCTCTACAGCCTACTGATTTCCTACTTGAGGAACCGGCCTTACAAGCTGGCGCAATGGATTCGAGGCCTGGCAACGGCTGTTGAGGGAGATGCAATCTGTGATGAGGGCGCGGGCGCTTGCTTTGCACACCCAAGTGTCACAGGTGCAGTTTGCTGAAGATGGCAATATCAGAACAAGATGGTTGCTTCGCTACATCATTGAGGGGTTGTTGGGCGCTGGCTGGCACTACTTAAAGGAGGTCATGAAGGCCATGCTCAGGAAGGAAAACATGATGGAGAGGCTGGAGAGAAACAGCGTGGGCATACAGGCCCATTGTTGCTGGACCTCGCAGCCTTGGAACGCTATGAGAAAGACGCAATAGAAATCGAGAACGCGCTCAACAAGAGCGCCCTCTACATCGAGGAAGTGGAGAAGGAGGTCAGGGAAATTCGCAGTCAGCGAGATCAGTCCCTTGAGGAACTCAGGCTCAGAGTTCTATGGCCACCAGCTGCTCAAGCAGACCACCCATTACAGGGTGTCCCAAAAGGAGCGAGAACTGCCCACACTTTGCGCGGGCAGAGCGTTTTCCAATGTGTTCGAGATGCCTGAGTGGAGGGGCGGTATCAAGATTACATTATATAGACGCATGAAGGAAACGTCCACTCAAGATCACTCAAGCACATGAGCACAAAACGAGAAGTGTCCTTTTACAACATGTAGCCCCAATGCCAAACCGTGAAAAAGATTTCGCGCTTCCGCTTCGCATATATAGTATATGCAGTCGTTTCAATAAGTGCTGCTTGGGTTTGGGATGTGTTTCCCATGATGCGACAAGGGAGCA